ATAGTGTGGGTGGACCGTATCTCTGACCACTAACGAAGCATGAAAAGTAGAAAAAGGCAGCATTGATAAAAAACATCGCTACAAAGTATTGGTCCAGGCTGCCAGAAGCGATTCGGTCACAGTAGTGACAACATTGTATGGTTCCGCGCTTGTGTTACTGATTTCCCTATCTTTTCGCAGAAGTGCTGAAAAGTTACTTCGACAATAAGCGAAGAACGTACCGCTTGGAAAAAAAAAATGGACCACACAAAAATCGGCCAACCTGCCAGCGACGTGTACATAGGTCACTGGAAATTTTACAAGGCGCTGAAGCTCCCGGATGGCGCGAAAATTAAACCAAGCCGTTCAATAATGGGCCAGGCTCAGCAAAATATGGCTGAATCAAAATGGTATGTTTGAGGTGACAACCCGTTACCACTCTCTTCAAATTTTAGCTTAAGCTGCATCTTGTGCCCTTCAGGGAGGTTAGATGTGTTCAATATTGACTGGAGGTTTTTTGGACACATTCGGGTGCATGCAAACATCAGGCGTCAACAGAGCGCATTTGATCCTACTAAGCGTTAATGTAATTACAGTAAAACAGTGTTGTTCGTTTTTCGCTTTAGCCGCGCTTTGCTTGATCACTGCTGTGACTGATGTGCGTTATGTTGCAGCCTCCTGTGTTCTCTGAAGCTAGTGAGACACCGGAAGCGGCCGCAGTGGATGAGGCTGCCACAGTTGATGAGATTGTTGCAGTGGACGAAGACAACTGCACTATGGAGTGTGTCCCTGTTGCCATCCTCCCCGCACCAAGTACGCCTAACACTGCCCAAGCTGCAAGCAAAAAAAGTACCAAGAAAGAACCAATCTTTGCCGCCAGAAAAAATGTGGACAGAGCGGCAAAAGGTGCTGGAAAACATAGCTGTAAATATGCAGGCAACGCAACCTTCGCAGTCTGATGATGCTTGTGATCACTTCGGGAGGCTTGTCGCTGCAAGTATGCGCGCAATACCAAAGAAAAGGCATCTTCATGCCAAGCAGAAATACTGAGACTTATGGATAGTTACATGGATCTTTAATAACACACGTTTGCAAATAAATGTACACTCCATTTCAATGCTGGCACTTGTGTTTACTGCCGGGGTCTCCTGTAGATGTTCACATCCAAGTGGACATACTGCCGCTGCCACGGTACAGCACCCTTGTCGTTAAAGAAATAGCACAGCTTATCACGCAATGCCGCACCAACAGCACCAATTCTACCACGCGATCGATGCTGCTGGCCCGGATAGCAGCCACACTGCTGGGCTTGTTTCGGCACATGAGCCTGGCGCACTGCTCATATCACTGCCAAGGAAATTGTGCAGCACACATGCCACATTCACGATGGCAGTCACCCTCTCTGGCAATGCATTAATAACTGTGTGAAAACACCGGAAGCGGTTCGCCAATATACAGAAAGCATTTTCAACTACACGGCGGGTCCTGGACAACCTGGGAAAAAAAAAGGAAATATTAGAGCACATCAAACATTGCACGGCAGGGAAAGTATTATGAGGATGCTAAGAAGCAGCCTTACCAAGGATTGCAGAAATTAAGGTTTCACTGAATAATTGGAGTCCCAATTCGTAATATAAGTTGCTGACATTATAAGTGCGTACATGTAATCAAGTGAGACGCGGGAGTTGCCATAGTTATTCCAACACATAACATGAACACCACGAGCTATGAAACTTTGGATATATTAGTAGCTCTGAAAATGCACCGTGACAGTTCAAGCTTTCACGTGATATGTGCTGTATCATGTGCAATATGTTTTACCTGTAATTAAATATCTTCTTCTGTTAGATTTGTGCCCCCGTAAGGTTTCAATAAATTTTGTCGTCCACTACGAACACAGGTTGAACGTGCACATCCGGTGAACTAGCCACCTTTACAAGTTCTGGCAGGCCTGCTTTTTTTTGTAATCTGTGTCTTTCTGCAGGAGTGTCGTTTGCCAGACACCTGCATCTCCTTCCGATCCTGGTGCACCAATATCAGTATACAAGAACTTGCAATTGGCATCAACGACGGCAAAAAGAATAACACTGAAACTTTTTTTTATAGTTGCGGTAAATTGTTCCCGATTTCGGCTGCTTCTTTATGAGCACGTGTTTTCCATCGATCGCTCCAATGCAGTTCGGGAAATTCCATTTCTGACTGAAGCCATCCATTTCATTTTTCCTCCCTTCTTCGATGCAGGGTGTTCTTACGAAGTCTCCTCCTAGCTCTTCGTAGATGGCACGGCACGTTTCATAAATAATGTCATTCACGCTAGAATGGCCCAGTCTAAACTGACAGCTGAGCGAATGCTGGCTCTCTTCTGCAACGAAAAATAAAAACAACGTTCTTGGTCAATTATTTGTGCCAGATGACAAAATGTACGAAGTGTACAAATACGTATGACACCCAGTTGTTTTATAGCGGAAGTTTAGTAGAATATTGCTAGAAACATTTACGCTGAATGTTACAGCTACATGTACACAGTTGAATATGATTTTGAGCGTGTTCGTATATAGAAATTTGGTGCCGTAGCGCGATCACATGAAACTGGTCTACACTGGTCTTGCTTCTTTCGCATGCACAAAGGTTTCCGCAAAAAAACATGCAATCGTGCGACACCTACCTGAAGCGAGGTATCGCAGCGTGGCTTGCAGCCGTGTTTCTGCCGATATAGAAGGGCGCATCACTGTGTACTCCTTTCGTACGCGAGTTTCCACGCGTGACAGCAGTTGCAGAAACAGCTCTTTGCTGACACGAAGCAGCCTCCGGTATTCTTCGTGGTCAGTTTTCAAAAGCTGTTTGTACAAAAGATTTTGGACGCCTAATTCCTTCCTTCCCACCCAGTCCTTCTGCCAGCAACTCCATTTTCTCCGGAAGGAATAACAGTCCTCGTCAATTTCACACAACGCGGCAGCCATTGCAGCCAAGCGTCGCTTTCTGTCGGCGTCCATGTCGTCCAATACTCTCAAACCTGTCTGCTGGCAGCGTGCGCAGGTGAGCGCCGAGTCTGTGGTCGAGAGTAATCCGGCTGTTCTCTCCTAGGACACCATCCGTCGTGTGAATGCTGGCGGATGATCCGCGGATTAGCCATCCGCGTCCACGACAAATTCGGATTCGGTCCGTCGTCTGAATGCACCATAAGGGGCGTTTTGGAAAACATGCGCTACTCTGCTACCCAAAGGTAACATTGGGAACGCGGCGTTAAAAGGCACGTGTAGGAACACGGACATGACGGTCGCAGACTTGCAAGTGATATTCCGTGCTATCACTCAAGCGGAAACACAGCCTGCTTCGACGAAACCCGTACAACCGATCATGACAAAAAAAAAGGGATAAAAAATCTAAGCCATTTCCGCCCCAAGTGAAATATTTACGGAATGCGGATCACATTCATCTGGGCTTATCTGCAATTTCCTTTTCGTGCGATATTGTGATATTTTCTATCCTTTCATGTTCTTTACTTTTTGATGATCTTATTTATTTGACGATTATCTATTTTCCATTCTATGGCCCCCATTCTATACTGTTAGCTGCTTCTCGCGCGGTAACTCGGCGCTGGCGCTTCGCCTACACTTCTCTTTTTTTTCTATGCATTTTGTTAATTACCTACGTGAAACGAGTTGTTTTATTAAAGAACGACAATAAGCCTTTTCACGCCATTGTGGTCACCATCTTCAGGTACCAGCTGGTTGAGATGCTGCGTGAACACTTGCTCGAACACGCGTAGCAAGAAACGGTGACAGCAGATAAGTGCCAGTGTGGGTATTAGTGTAGATACTGAGATAATAAGCTGACGTGCCGAATTTGGCGAGTAACGAGAAAATGCACCAATAAAACGAGGACAGCACTGGGAGAGGAAGCAGAAATTAAGGGCATACGCATTGAGTCGTTTTCCGCGTCAAGAGGGTAGAAAAATGGGCGTTAGGGAGCATTCCGATGAGTCATGCTCATCGCAAGTGAGCCATAGCTCAATATGACACCCGAGTGTGCACATACACACACAAACGCCCCCCCCCCCCCCCACACACACAGTATGCCACCGCTCTATACCCCCCTCTCCCCGCTCTACCAAAGGGTAACTTTAAGCTCTGAAATAGCCCTACACAAGCTACACCAGCGCTCTCCCCTCTCTTTCCCCAAGATCAAATCCTACCGAGCTTGAATGCAGAAGAGTTGACACTGGTTGCCACAAGATTATAAAACAGCAAGCTAATATGTCGACATGTTGACACAAACCTCCCATTTCTCAAGATACAAAAATGTCTTCACCATTCGTAGGCTAAAATATTATCGCCAATTGCTACTACAAATGCATTTTTTTTTCACAGGAATCAGACATCTATAGGCCTGGTGTGACGACGATAAGCGCATCGCTACCACGAGTTCATTTTTTTCAGTGCTAAGTACAAACAATGTGCGGTTTATCACTCTAGTCGGTGCTTCTGAGACACCAAAAGAGTGCCTAAAGCACATAGTCCGTCAATTGAGGGAATATATGCTATAAGGCTAACACTCCCTTAGGCCAGCAAATTTAAGCGCTGTGGGCACTGCTCGTTTTTTAAAAAAGGTCGACCGGACTAAGCAACCGCTTGTAAGCGTGCAATGGACAGGCGCACATGCGCCATAACTCTTGCCTTTCCTCTCTTGCTTGTCTTTAACCCCATCTCCCCTTCCCCATTGCAATGTAGCAAACCAGACAGGCGTCTGGTTGACCTCCCTGCCTTTTCGTTTCTTCCCTTCTTCCTCCTTCCATAGGAACGAAACGCATTTATTGAATCGAGGGGAGACACCGCAGGTAGCCTTCACATCCCATTGCAAGAGCCGTTCTTGTACAATATAATTCTATATATTAATATGTCTTGGGTAAGTGGTGAATCAGACAACATTGATGCAATAAATGAAAATACAACTATGTGTACACTTCACCACGCGCATCCCCAAATCGCATTTTGTCCTTTTCCCGGGATCCGCTGACGCTTTCACTCGGACTCTCCAAGTTTCCTCCCAGCGGATGCCTACAAAAAGAAAGAAAAGTGTGCACGCATTCAACAGTGTTTATATAACGTTAGTATTTTGTTTCACGTCATCTGTGACATTTCGTGAGTCCATTGTGCCACTGCTAATACTGTCGTTAGGTTTTCAAGACCAACCGGGTTGGAGGCGGAAATGTTGTAGGCCCGTGTGCTCAGATTTGGGTGCACGTTAAAGAACCCCAGGTGGTCGAAATTTCCGGAGCCCTCCACTACGGCGTCTCTTATAATCATATGGTGGTTTTGGGACGTTAAACCCGACATATCAATCAATCAATCAATCAATCAAAAGACCAACCGGGTGACTTGACACAGCCGAATGCGTGACGATGCCCTCGGAGATTCCGAGATCGAACGAACGAGCACAATCTCGGAGGCCACGTTACAAGCGGCAAAGCGGAACCGTAAAGTGCGGTAGGGTTCAGCGACAACGGGGTTAGTGTGTTTCACGCGTGATTTTCTGTTCCGAATCTCTCGTTCTGAAGAAAAATCATGAAAATTCGGCGCCAAAGATCTGTGCTAAGCAGATTTCCTGCACTTGTTGTATTCTAAAAGGGTAAAAACTTGAGTTTGTTGCATCGATTCATTGTAAAAAAATAATAAAAATAAAATAAAAAGCAGTGCGGGTATACGAGAGAAGAAAGACAACAGGGCATAGCGCTGTTTATATTACATGCATTTCATGAGCGCTGGCAGTATTTCATGTGAGGGGGTTCAACTCCGGCCATAGCCAGAGAGGGCGTTCAGCCAGAGAGGGGGTTCAACTCCGTCCATATCCCCCCGAAAAATTAAATATATCCTTATATAAACACGCACACATACAAACGGACGCACGAGCATATATAAAGTATGGTTAAACCCCACCCCCAACCCCCGAAAAAAAAAATCTGGCCACGCCGTTGTTGTATTCGAACGTTCCTTACATCGGTATTCGCGACAGGGGTGTAGCCAAAGGGTGGCACACCAGGCCTTTGCCCCCCCCCCCCTCCCCCCTTCCGGAAAAATTTCTGGCTACGCACCTGATACTCAATAGCCGCAGCATTCAACACTCACCCTTGACAGGTGAGTCATATCGTCGTAGGGAAATAAGCCGGCGGCTGCGGCGCGCTGTTGATTCTCGTCGCCGTGTCGCTGTTCGCGCAGCACCCAGTCCACTTCCTCGGGCAGCGTGTACTGCTGGTTGGCGATGATCACCATCACGGGACACGGCCGGCTGTACACCTCGCCCTGGAGGGGACAACGTACGCCGTTAAAGGGACACTGCTCAGGAAATCTTTTCTTTTCGATATCAATGAAATACACTTACTAACGAAATAAGCGTGCTTGCCGAGATTGATGATACCTGATGATGATGATGATGAGATTGATGAGACCACCTGATATGTGGGGTTTAACGTCCCAAAACCTCGATATGATTAATAGAGACGCCGTAGTGGAGGGCTCCGGAAATTTCGACCACCTGGGGTTCTTTAACGTGCGCCCAAATCTGAGCACACGGGCCTACAACATTTCCGCCTCCATCGGAAATGCAGCCGCCGCAGCCGGGATTTGAATCCGCGACCTGAGGGTCAGCAGCCGAGTACCTTAGCCACTAGACCACCGCGGCGGGGCGTGCTTGCCGAGGGAAACGCGCAAAACTAAAATGCTGGTGGCCAAGTCGCACGTCGAAGTTTCCGCACTTATCTTCGTGATTTCGTTGCTTTTGAGTGTGACTACCAAAGCCTATGTAGTCCCTAATCAACAAAAATCAAGGTCATTGTCCTCCAGGAGAGGGGGGTGGGAAAATACTTATTATGCCAAGTTTCAGAAACTTTAGTTGGGTCGGTGTTACCGCAGTATACACACACATAAAAATAACACTGAGATCCTTGACGTCCGCTTCGGTGATTATGGCACGGAGTTTAAAAATGAAAGTTTCGAGATTGATGTTCTGTTTTATTAATAAACTTATGATGGTGAAATAAAAAATGGTATAGTTCGCGTAGTGTAATTTGCCAGTCTAAATTAAATCATTGTTTAACCTTTAGTATCCATAACGACAGCTTGATGATAAACAGCCACGAATAGTGTGTTGATGATAGGGACAAGAGTGTTTTAAGAAGGCAGAAGAGTAATTGGACTACTCGATATCTGCTTTAAACGAACTGCGGGTATTAAATAGGAAATTTGGACGAACGTCGCCTAAGACAAGTGACACGCTCACCTTACCGTTGTTACGCAAGTGACGTGTACGTAATGACGGCGACATTTTCTTTTTTTTTTGTTTTTGAACTGAGCATCAAATCAACCAAGGTGGACAAAATTATAATCCCTCCTCTTCTGTCTGCTCCACAATGGCGTAAAGATTAAATATATAATAAATTCAGTTATATTAGCAAATGATATCGCTATAGAATATTCGAAACACGATAGAACGCTGTGGGGCCTACATAATTTCTGGCATGTAATAGTTAATGAAGTTGTGTTTTAATGGTACAAGACATATTGGCATCGTTAGCATTGGGGACTTGCCTAAAAGCCAGCGAGACTAATATACAAAAAAAAAAAAAACTTCGAATGAGTGATGTCAGTCTGACGGTGCCAATGTCGGCACTTCGATGGTGAAAAAGATATCCGTGGAATTTATTCCCACAGCTGGAAGTGGATGTATCATCATAATACCAATTATTCAATTCAATTATTGCAAAACCGGTCCTTATGTGCAAGTGTCAGTATTTGCGCCTTAAATAGCGCTAGTTTACAGTTACACGTGTTGGGGCAAATTCACACAGTGCGTGCTTCTCGAAAATCTCTGTTGACCTTTGTTTCCGATTCGCCCGCTGCTAGGTATCAACCAGCTAAAATTATCGTTTGAAGTGTGAAATAGGCTGACTTCTATATCGTTTTTAAAGCGAAATCAAGACTGGGATGAATTTTGCGGCAGCGTAAACTGCGCCTAAACATATTTAATGACTAAAATAGTTGAAATTAAAAACAGGCCAGTTCCTGATTGCTAACTCAAAAAGGCACTTTACAATAAAAAATGAACCAAATCCTGCATCCCGTTTAATCAAACTGAACCACATTAATCAAACCGGCGCTGCGTTGGCGGTCGTACAAAAACACCAATATAATCTTATCGTTAATATGCTGTTTACATTCCACCATTAGTTTTTCTAAAGGACGAGTAGGCATGCAAAAGAAGAAGTGAGGAAACAAGGCTTATGTTCTCCTAACTATGTGTCACATATTGCTTTCGTTTGCCTGCGCTTAGATGGCGATGCACAAGCACTCTCGCATATATTGAGGTGCGATAGTGAACTTCCCGGAGCCAACCACTACGGGGTTTATCCAGTGGCGTAACTAGATAGGACGGCGCCCAGGGCAAATATATTTCCGCGCCCCTCATTATGCCCGTGATAATGTTTGTTATTATTATTATTATTAATAATAATAATAATAATATAATATTATTATTATTATTATTAATAATAATAATATTATTATTAATAATAATTATTACTACAGCTCCTATTAATAATAATATTATTATTATTAATAATAATAATATTATTATTAATAATAATTATTACTACAGCCCCCCCCCCCCATTAAAAGCGCTAATGTAGGCTTCCGCGATTGCCTACTGGCGCGCGGCGGGCCATTTCGGAGGCCAAGGGCCACCAGTTCTGATTTCGATGAGCTACGCCCGCGTTTTTGTATAGTATTTTTCTTTTTTTATTCAAACTTCCGGAAGTCCCTTACCCGTCATTGTTCTCTTCCAGTCCACACTGCAAAAATCTTGACGGCACGGGCGCTTCCCAGGCCCAAGTTTCTCGTACCTAAGCTTTCGCGCTATTTGTGCATCCCAAGGAATGCAGGGTGAGTACAAAACAAAGCAACCAGCTAGACACCGCGCCCTCGGGTCTGGTATGGGGGTTAAACTGGTCGGAGTGTTCTGCCGTTTCGCTCCGTTCGCTGTTCCATTGATGGAGGTCATCCTTGTGCGGCCGCATTCTTTCAGGGAAGTTCTTGGTTTCTCCAACGTACGAAGCGGGGCAGTCGGCACATGCTGTCGGGTACACTACGCTCTGCGCTTTTTTCGCAGGTGCGTGTTCTTTGGGCCAAAGGATGAACCTGCCCATGGCGGTGGATGGCATGTGGGAAACGTTGACCCCCGCCCTTCTATTGCTTTGCTGGCGCCCGCGATGCAGGGAATCAACAAACGTCGCCGTCGTGTCACGCTTTCTCCGTCTTTCCTCCAGAGAACTCTGCGAATAAACGCCTTTGTTTAGCCTTTGGTGCCGAGGTCACGGATTATATTCGCCCTTCCTTCCGCCGCTGCGTGGACGATTATTCGTTGGACGATCGGCTATTTCGTTGGAGTTTTCTGTTCTTACTCAAAAAAGGTGCATTCGAACTTTTTTATTTTATTTTGTTTACGTACGTGGTTGGTTTCAGGGAAGCTTTCAGTAAGTGGTTTGGGAGGCTGGTGGGGTTCGCTGAAACTCATCTAACCCAGTGCTGCGGAGCACAAAACAAAGCTTAGCCGAGGGTCATGGGAAGGCACGGAGGTAGCGCAGCAAAATGAAAATAGAGGATCCTTTTCCCGATGCAAAAGCCATTGCGGCAACCCTTTCCTTCACCACCATCCCCACTTCCAGTCGTACATTACAACCTCGCCCCTCCCCCCTTCCAGGCGGTTTTACGGAAAAAAACATTGACAACCTTTCCAGGGGGCGCCAACCCGAGGACTCGGCTTGGCGCCCCCTCCCTAGTGGCGCCCGGGGCACTTGTACCCCCTTGCCCCCCCCTAGTTACGCCACTGGGTTTATCACAGCTGGAATGTCACTTCGAGACGTTTAATCCGTGAATTACTCGGTACACGCGTTAGAAACAACAAAAAACGATGGAAAGAACGCGCGCACATGAGTGCAACACAACGGTTGTGCGTCGTCTGCTGGGGAGTAAGTCGGGGCGGCACCTGGCGCCATCTCTGGTCCTTAGGCGCTAACTAATCTGTAGGGGTGGCACCGGTGAGCATGTCGTAAGCTTATAGAAAAACGCTGCTTATAGAGGAGGTGGTGATACAAACACACACGCGTATGTGTTTGGTGCCTGCAGATGTGTGCGCATGAAAGTGCCTTATTTTTGGGCCAAAAATATTTATGGAATGATTTACCAGCTACAGCACAGCCACAAATTTTCCCTGCACTCTTGCGCCAATACCACAACACATGACGCCCGATTCCCACCTGTTTAACGTAGACTTTGGGAACATATTCGATAGAGATTCACTTTATCAGCTCTTAATTGCGTGCTAAGGAGAGGACTGAAATCAAGGAATGCTATCGAAACTGGGCTCTGTTGCAATCCAAAACCAAGCACCACTCGAGGCGGACAAAAGAAGCTGCCGCCGCCTGCGGATGGACGACGGATGTTCTGCACATCCCTCCCTAAAATGCACGCGCTTCCGGCGAGTCTATGAGTCCATCTTGGTATATAGGAAGCAAAGCCACTATTACACAGAACACACAACACAAGCGCTTATTGGTAGGAAGCACAGCCGCTATTACACAGAACACACAACACAAGCGCTTATTGGTAGGAAGCACAGCCGCTATTACACAGAACACACAACACAAGCGCTTATTGGTAGAAAGCACAGCCACTATTACACAGAACACACAACACAAGTGCTACCAAGATGGATTCATACCAGCTGGCCCGATACGATTGTTTATTGAGTCTATGAGGTTCTTCGTAGCTGCCCACGCTTTCTGCGTGGGGGAAACAAGCAAGGGAAACAAAAAAAAGTTTAAATATAATTATTGAAGTTCCACATTATGCATACTGGCGTGTCAATACATACAAGAACAACAGACAGCCGGATTGCGTGTTATTTCTTTAAAGGGCCCGTAATCAATACTCCGAGTTTAAGGAGGAGAGAGTGGTTTCTTCCTACTCTCACTATTCTGCCCATGGAGGCGCTGTCTCGTCCCCATGCCTTGATTCGTCACAAAACGCGCGGAAAATGTTCGCAATAAGCGTTGAGTTTATCAGGATTTTGCGCTTTGCAGCTTCACGCTGCTACCTCTGCTTGCGCAGTAGAAATCGATTGAAACTAAGCAAAATTAGTAGATCGTGCACGAGAGTAATGCGACACAAAACAGAGGGGGCGTGCAACTGCAAGACAAAGCAGGGTAGGAGACGATTCCCAACCGATATTCCTCGTTTATGGACCAATCGATATGTAACTACCCCGTGACGTCACGTAAACGGACCGGTGTCGTCACGAATTCCGCCGAGAAGACGGGAAACACGAGGAAAGAATAATGCGCTCGTTTTCTTTTTTTTTTCTTTCTTTCAGAGGTCGTGTAGAGGCACTTCCAAACATTGTTTTCTTTCGTACGAGGGCCGAAACTGACTGTTTTACTGCTCTATTCGCATGCCTCAAGAAATCAGTTGTGTCGCGAGATCAACACAGAAATAAAAAGGCGATATGCTTGAACGCCGATGGTTCGCGTTAGAAGAAAATGTGTCAGTGTGAGACCGCTAACTGGTATGAGAAACCTATTAGTATTTACGAGACATATCATTACATTAATCACCATACTAATTATCACCGTCATTATAGATCACCATCTCATGAAACACCTCGCACGAATTGCCCCGCCGCGGTGGTCTAGTGGCTAAGGTACTCGGCTGCTGACCCGCAGGTCGCGGGTTCAAATCCCGGCTGCGGCGGCTGCATTTCCGATGGAGGCGGAAATGTCGAGGCCCGTGTTCTCAGATTTGGGTGCACGTTAAAGAACCCCAGGTGGTCAAAATTTCCGGAGCCCTCCACTACGGCGTCTCTCATAATCATCAGTGGTTTTGGGACGTTAAACCCCACAAATCAATCAATCAACCTCGCACGAATTCAACTAAAACAAAAATGATGGCCTACTTCTTGCGCAAAATTTTTCAGACAACAGTGGAAACACGGACTTGCACAAGCTTCCCGATGAAGTTATTACAACCAGATTCCCACTGAACAAAATTCCAACTGAACGTACAAGCACCCATGCGTCCGTTTAAAAAAATTGCGCAAGAGGTAGGTTATGATGGTGTACCAACTATCTCCAACCCACGCTTCGTTAAGCATAAGGCTTGGCTCTGGCGTGCACCAATCAATCACGACAAGGTAAGAATGAGCACGGTGTACCGGGAAGATGATCTTGGTGACGGTGCGTGGTATGTACATAGGCGCCAGGTACTCCTCCTCCGTGGTGGCGTCCATGATGCGACCCTGGATGAGCAGCAGGTCCTCGATGTCCGGACTCACGTGGAACTGCTTGGCGTTCATCAGGTCCGGCATCTGCATACGCTCCAGGCGGTTGTTCACTTTCTCCGTCGGCCACGTCTGCATGCGTGCACCAGGTTATAATTACTCTGTAGCGCGCACACTAAAGGTTCTGTAACTGCCAAGAAATGCCTTGGACGCTAATGAAGTGTCTATTATTCCGGGTAAAGAAACACCTGATACTGAGGCTGCGACTGCAACAGGGGCGTGCTCAGCGTGGAGCAGATGAAGTACCACAGCTGGTAGCGGAAGCTGGGCCACGCGGTGAACACTTCCAGGGCCTCCAGAAGCCGCTCCTTGGGGATCAGGTAGGCCTGCAAGCGCGAATGCACATACATGGTACTAGAAGCCAGTTACTTCACTTAGGAGTGGGAATAGCCAAGTTTTTATTAATTTTGTGAAAGGAAAGATGATGCGATCAAGACGTGCTTTAATATAGACCAGACAGCTACTACGCAGTCAGGTAAAAAAAATAAAAAAAATCAGTAGGCCTCTGCGACTTTAATACTTCTTTTGTGGAAAAAAAATGCGAAACTTATAGAACGTACTATTGCAAGAACGGGCTCAAAGTGCACTGAAAATAGTTTAACAAAAGAAATTAGAATAACGCGCGCTTTCACTAGATCTTATGAAAGCTGGTGTACGTAAAAACATCAAGTGAAAAAAAAGTTAGAAAGCAAATTGCCCATTTAGAAGCACGAGCACCTTAATGTTTGTTAATCAATATATCATCACAATCCTGATGATGATGATCATCCTAAGAAAGTCCACTTCACGGCTAAGGCGTCTCCCATGTTCCGCTAATCTACCCAGTCTTGTGCTTTTTGCTGACGTTATACCCGCAAACTTCTACAGCCGCCTTGCTCCGCCGCGGTGGTCTATAGTGGCTAAGATACTGGGCTGCTGACCCGCAGGTTGCGAGATCGAATCCCGGTGGCGGCTGTATTTTCGATGGAGGTGGAAATGTTGTAGGTCTGTGTGCTCAGATTGGGGTGGACGTTGAAGAACCCCAGGTGGTCGAAATTTCCGGAGCCTTCCACTATACGGCGTCTCATAATCCTATGGTGGTTTTGCGGAAGTTCAAGCCCACGTATCAATCAATCAATCAATCAATCAATCAATCAATCAATCAATCAATCAATCAATCAATCAATCAATCAATCAATCAATCAATCAATCAATCAATCAATCAATCAACTTCTATAGGTGCCTCTAAAGAGGATGATACCTCGGCTTCGACGCCGATATGTATATCCATATAATATAGACGCATACAACGATATTCGGGCAAATGCAGTATGCTCCTTACGTTGACGGCAGTCTCTGCTGTGACCGTGGTGACGCAAGGCTCGTCCGAGACTATGCTCAGCGTACCGATGATGTCGGGAGCCAGGATGTAGTCTTCGAAGTAGCCGTCGCTGTAGAAGTACAGGAACGACGCCGTGTTGGGCAGAGCACCGTCCACATTCTCCGCCACCTCGCCGGACACCTGCGCAACCAACACGAGCGAAGACGTGAGGTTCTGTCAAGAACAGCGTGCACTGTGTAGGCGCGTAAGTTCCGCATTTCCAATGTGTACAGCGAACCGTGCTGTACTCGACACTGCTTGCTCACCTTGACAATACCCGATGTGGCGACGACGATAAAGGAGTCCTCGTTCTCGCGTATGATCCCCTCGCCGGGTTCGTAGGACATCGGCCGGATGGTCATCTGGGAATTAAAAATCGTGAAAAACCTACTGACTTGATGTTCATGTTCTACAACGCGGATTGAAAAAGAAAAAAAAAAGACGAGGGAACATGTGCAGCGGGAATTGGGAAGCTAGTTTTCCCGCATTGCGGCGTTACACCCCGTAAAATTAATGATTAGCGCGTTGCTTTTGCGTTACGATTGCTCTTGTGGATACCCGGCCTTTGTCTAAAATCATAATGACAAGAAAGCTGTTCTCGACGTGCACGTGATGATTTCGACTGTGTTGACTACAACACTCTTCCCCCCCCCACTTTTTTTTAATTGGTGCGTAATGATAACGAAAACTTGACAGCTTTCTTCGATCGCAGCTGCTCATGCAGTTCGCACCGGCGCGACAGAGTGTGAGAGGGTGACCTATCAGTTACTACCTTAAATTCAGTTCAAACATTAATCAATGAGAACTTTGGCACTTCTCAACCGCAAATGCTTCACTAGAAAGAGGCACGATCGAGAATGCAAGCGACCGAATACGTGCGTCGGATCTTTGTATAGATCGACCATGATCAGAATAAGGAAAAATTCATTTTATAGTATCGAGATCGGCAGCACTTATCTTTTACTTTCTCGTGGGAACTTCGTTTGTGACGCTATACCACACACAGCATCCTCAGCAAGCGGACGTACCGCGAGGAACTGTCTGAGCTGATCGGTGCCCATCCATGGCACGGCGCGCAGCACCGAGATGGGCTTGTAGCTGCTGGGAAAGCTGTACGGTGCGGACATCACCTGCTGCATCGCTTCTTCGGCGGCCTGCATGGGACGCAATCGACCGCCTCAGAAAAAATCGTCACGCTTCGTGTAGGTGTTTTCTTTTCTTCATTCTACTTTAATGCTCACCTTCGTAACTTACGGTGCGATTTGATGAAAATATATTCATAACTATACGTCGGCAAAACTTGCGGAGCTCAGTCAGACTCACCCATGGAATATATTTCGAGTTTTGGACTTACTTGGACTCAGACTCACGAAAATCTTCATGAGCCGCAGTCAATCGGACTAAAACTCGCGAAAACGTTACTCACCAGGACTCATTCAGACTCACAACTAGATCTTAGTCCGAGTGACTCGACTCATGAGTCCGGCAGGCTATAGAATGGGCTTCTTCGACCGTAGTGTCAATGCTCTTTAACACCAATATCTCACGTAATCAGTGCTCTTCTTGGTGCCATTTGACATAGCATCTTCGAAAATGAGTTTTGAGTGCTTCCACACCAGTGAGGACATTTTACTGGAAGAGACGACAGCGCACGATATTGTATCAGCCGGCCCACATTCAATGACACCAACACGCATGTCCGGACAGTAGTGAGCGCCTGCATTTATTGCCGTCAGTTTTTTTATAGTGAAACTTAGAAAAGGGGTGAGGGTTTAGCAGATAATAAAGAAAAGCACGTGTAGTGCAACCAAGATATCTGGCTTGCGCTCTTGGGCCTAATACGATACAGATATATAATAAAAAAATTCCCTGGAATACATGGCGGGGGGAGGTAAAGGCACCGACGTACGCGTAATTAATGCATCTAATAATAAATATTGAAACAGTGTATGGCCGACACTGCTTTGGGATACTTGTGATAGACGTGGGTATTAACGTAAATCCACGTGAGGCCGATAGTAATGCTAAAGATGACCAGATAGGACCGTCGGTCAGCAAAAGAGAGTGGAACTCACTCAGACTCACTCAAGAAATATATTTTGCGCTTTCGACTAACTCGGACTGAGAATTACCAAAAGTTTTCCAGAGCCGCACTCACTCGGACTCACACTCACGAAAACTTTCTGCAACAGGACTCACTCAGTCTCATAATCACGACTCGATCCGAGTCTGAGTGAGTCCGAGTGAGTGGACTCACGAGAGAGTTCGATTACCTATGTTCATAACGCACGGTCTGTTAGGCATTTTCTTCAGAAAACGTGTCCAAATTTAAATCGGGCAAAAGAGGCTGCAGTGATGATTGATTAATATGTGGGGTTGAGCGCTCCGAAGCCGTAGTGGAGGGCTCAAACATTTTTGACTACCTGGGGTTGTTTAACGTGCATCCCAATCTGAGCACACGGGCCTACAGCATTTTCATCTCCATCGAAAATGCAGCCGCCGCAGCTGAGATTCGATCCCGCAACCTGCGGGTCAGCAGCCGAGTATACCTTAGCCACTAGACCACCCCTGCGGGGGGCTGCACTGAAGAGTAGTTGTCAAATGAAAAGAATGTCTCTGGTGCCAATATCACGACAGGGAGATGGTACATCCAGAGGGATTCTTTTTATGGAGCCTTTTCACCACAGTGTCACAAGTGAGGAATGTGGAGGAAAAAAAAAAGCACGCGTTCAGTTAACAGTTTCCATACAATATGAGAAGTCGCACCATGGAACACTTCAGGTTACACTTGCAGCAGAGCACTCACTGCATGTACAGGCTCTAAGCTACGCCAGGTATTCATTATATCACGTGTTTCATCGGCTACATTCCTATAGTGAAGCTGATGAACTGTACTAGGCGCAGATAAAATTACTGTATATGATACCAGTGTTAAAAAAAAGTAAACAGTGACTTTACGGATACTCTCTTGTTTTGACTGGCAACATTTATTACGTTAAAGCACAAGCATGATGAAAATTACTTCAAGCTTGTTAAAGACATAAAAGGCTACAGAGCACATAGAGCAGTCTTTCATGATCCATTACCAGCTTGTCCACCAAGCCGTCCTCGTCAATGGTACGAGACAGGTTCAGGTGTATGAAAATAACCCGCACTCCTAATTATCGTGAAACAGTATATGAGCTGTTAGTGCTCGTCTTGCGTCTACTTCAGTGAGTCGTCAAAATGAACGCTTTTCAAACCTGCAAGTTTAGAGCACGAACTGACTTAACTCCAAAACATGTAATAAGGCACGCATTGCGCTATACCTTTAGCGTGTAGACATGTGTGTTGCAACCGAGCTCTCTGGGTGTTACACCCTACAAAAAAAAAAAAAAAGCAGGGAGGGAGCATATGCGTTACTGTTTCTAGAGTCCCAACTAACCAAGTCTATGACTCCCTTTAAAGAGAGACGTTAACTCTTTTTAAATAGTCTCACGACTCTTCGTTGGGAGTATAAGGACATCCAAACATGCTTAACATGTCTTGTTAAAGAAAGACAACTCACAAGAAGGAGTCGGAGGACTCCTTTTTTAGAGTGTATCTCGAGTATACCGTGATCATCTTTCGATGCTCGGCGGTGTCGATGGCGCCGTTGTGCAGCAGCTCGTCGATGTGTCGCCGCACGTCGTTCAGGATGCTCTGACAGGCCTGTCGGCTCTTGAAGGCCACCGCCACGCCCGGGTACTTGCTGTGCACCTCCACCACCTGCCGGAGGAGCTGCAACACGACCATACGCCTCTTTGCAGTCATCATCATCATCATCATCATCATCATCATCATCATTATTATTATTATTATTATTATTATTATTATTATTATTATTATTATTATTATTATTATTATTATTATTATTATTATTATTATTATTATTATATAGAGAACATTGCAGGGCATGCACACACCTCGAGGCGGTTCTCGCCCGCGTGACAGCGTATCTGGTCGGCCATGAACTCGTCCACCGTCTTCCAGATGTTCTCTCGCACGTCCTCCTCCCCCTTGATGAGCGCCAGGCCAGTCTCGTAGGCCGTGTAAATGATCGAGTCCATGTACTGGTTGACCAGGTCGAGCACCCATTCACACAGCTCCTGCACGGACGATCGACACAGACGAAGCGCCCGCTTAGCGCTTAGGCAACTTGCACGTTCAATGATGGGCTCACACAGTGCGCGTCGGCAAGACATGGAAGGCTTGTATAAAGTACAGCAAATAAGCGTTGGTTTGATATCCTAGAACCACGGAGATCAACCAAGTTACGTCGGCGTCACGTATTATTCAAGTGGATATTTAGCGTCCACAGGAGAAAACTGATAAGAGATGCACGTGTACATGATAGTAAGTGTTCTCATCTTTGTGCACCAAGCATACCGAATCCAAAGACTTGTTAAGATAGGCTAAGTTTCGTAAAGAATGCAAACCCAAATTTATGATTCATTGTAACATGAAGTGCACGAGCTTTTATTGTTGGTTTGAGCATGCTAAGTGATCCTATGCAAAGCATGTGCAACGTTAACAACCTTATGCTGGGAGAAGATATAATTGCATTGCATACGAAACGTGTAGCCCAGTCTTTGTGTACAAACTCTCAAGCATGCGCACTGCTCTAAATCTCGCCCGAGATCATTTTCGCACAGTATCGTTAACTTCTTGATTCGTTCAGTGCTCCGCTGCTTCTTGCCTATCCCTAACAGCCCCGTTAGAGCTCCGTAGCAGCTATATGACCTATATATTCCATCGGTCTGATTTCGCGTGATGCTACAGTCGTCGAAATATAGTGAATTCAAACCTGCACCACCAACATACAAATTTGCTAGCAAAAGTACGTGCCTCCGAGCGGTTGTAAGGCGGGGATGTATAAATATTTCATGCGACCTCTACGCATGTCGCTGCCCCAAATTCCGGGCCACGTACCTCGGCGTACTGCGTCAAGTGCGCCAGACGCGCGAGCATGGCGCACAGGAAGAGCGTCGCCAGCGTCGTGCCCACGACGCCTTCGCTCAGGACTCGGTCGACCACCCTGAGCAGTAGCTGGAGAAAGAACAGCCCGCCGCACAGCCCGACCAGCAGCAAGTCCCGCAGGTTGTACTGCTCGATGCGCACGAAACGCTGGCCGTAAGCGTATACCTGCGACACGCGGTGCAGTGCAAGGACGTAGCCTGTATTAGCGCAGTACATAAAAGAAAGGGACAGGGCACAGACATAGAGATCGCTAGGCGATACCTATCTAGGTTAGCGCCTACTAGGTTAGCGCCTACTAAGATAGGTTAGCGCCTACCTATCTCTGCGTCTGTGTCGTATCCCTTTCTTTTATGTACTGCGCTAATACACGCTACGTTCATGGATGACCAACTTGCCCGATCAGCAAATTTTTGAACTTCAGTGCAAGGAATAAACATAAGGCACGGCTGCTTGGGCTTGTTAGAAATTCATGACAGGTGTACTTGTGAAATCTACTTTTTTAGATGGATCATGGCAATTTTTCTCAATGAAATGTTAGTTATCAGTTCTTCGGTTGATAATATTCCCCTGTTACATGACCACTGAGGCAATGCCTTTTCCCTCTTTTTTTTAGGAACAAAGCCCCTTAAACCCGCACAATGTCCCTAAACCGCCATACGGCGTCTACAGAAGATGTAGTGAAGATGCATGCAAACAAACCAAAATATCCGTGAACACAAAAAAAAAGGTTATCATAAGTCTGTCACCCAAAACAAACAAAAGGCCACAACACCGTCGGAACACCGTCGTTTAGCCACCGATCATAAATGATTGTTCATCAGGACAATTTATAAGGATACGATTCATTATGCAATGCACACTGCTTCAGCCCATCCTCGGCATTCATATTGAAGACATGGCGGATTTTTTTTCTCTTTCTTTTGTGCACTATCATGTATTTAAAGGCATATTGCGGCTGCATCAATAAAACTATGTTGTAAGACGGCGCAGTGTGTGGTCCCCCTTCTCAGTGTCCGTGTGCCGTTGCGCTAGTATACTGTGAATGGATAACGTTTTGTAGAACGCCACCATAACGATCCATCTCATATGCGCTAATAATAGTTGGATATATCGAGTATTAGGATACAGGCGGAGTAGACTATCAGGAACGTAATATTTTTTAGAACTCACTGCAATGTGTTCGTTATATGAGGGATAATTTTCAGTGAAGTAAAAAAAAAAGCCGAGAATGAACTTATTTATTGAAAAAAAAAACATAAAGTAAACAAAGACAAGCTGTAAGTACAGCACACTGCGATTCGCGCATCGAAATCCCTTTCGAAAATGGCAATTTCATGTGCGCATTGCTGCAGACGTGTACTCTAGACGACTCAATATGTACACAAGATTGGTGCATTGAATTAATAGCGTAATAAGGCTAAAAGTAAAAATATAACTACAAAACACAAAAGAGAAAGAAATAAACAGAGAAAGAAGAAATAAAGAAAGGAGGAGTCAATTTAACACCAGTGTCACACGGGTACTTTTCATTGCGATCAGGGTAATCCGGCTCAGATTTATTGATCGCAATCAGCTTTATGATCACTGCTACACGGCCCAAGCTAATCCGGTTCGAGCTTGGGTCAGATAAATGCGCCAGGTGGCGATTGCCTGCCGTGAAACATGTCTTCGTTTAAAGTCATCAAGGTAGCATATTTCTATAGAGCCCTTTATCAGTAATGTTATTCGTGCATGAACCGCTCGAACTTTGAGAACTTTTCCTGCCACTACAAGAGCAATTTAATAAGACCATCAATCCATAAAGTTTCGCTTGCACTTGCCTGTATTGCTTTGTGAGATTCTTAATCTAACCTTTTATTTCTGATGGCCCACGCTCGTAGCCGTCCAGTCGCAGCGAAGCGTCAATCTCGTTGTATACTCGCCAGAGTTTCACGTCCGGCGCGCCTCAAGTCTTCCAGTCGCTCCTGCCAGCGGTCAATTACTGTAAAGCTCCCTCAATTTGACCCCGAAGTGGACGTACGTTGCGACGTAGTCGAAAGGCTTGCTACACTCATAATCAGTTTGCTTCTATATAAGTGCTCCAACTGCTCCTATGGTGCGATAGTTGAACCAGTTGAACTGAGCGCGGAATATAACACTCGTCTGCTTATCGTCCGGTTCTCGCATAACTACATGCGGTCGATACGAATCTTAACATATGCAATGTTTCAGTTATAATTCTATAGTTTAAACAGTTTGGAATTTGCTCTTTTTATAAACATCTAGCTGTTTTATTGCGTTTTTAATAAACTATGCTCGATTTTCTTGTTTATTTTGCTTTCAACAAGCTCGGCCAGGGGGTGCAGACGACAAAAAATTGTGATCTCTCCGCCAGATCGCGCTGTGCGGATCACGATAGTCTTGATCCCAATCGCACCTGATCGTGATTAAAGGTGACCGTGTAGCAGCACCTAATCCGGATCATGGCTACTCTGGATCGACACTGATCCCGATTCAAAGTGTCTGTGTCACACCGGTATAACAAAATTTCTTTTTCGCAAGTGTGTTTTCTATTGCTCAGCCAGCTTCACTAATTATATCCACCACACCGCAATCTTGACTTACGAAATATTTTAGTGCAATACCTTAATTAAACATGGGCCCTGTACAAAACGTAATAAAAATAACCCTTAACGCTAATTCGTTGCACGCAAGCGGCTTTGTGACTCTTGCAGTGGACGCTTTATACGTATATCCAGAGTATCATGGCTGCGAGTGTGAATTAAAGCATGCGCGTGCACGTGCACTGGGATGGCGATGCAGCTTTGTCGGGGCAATTTCCTGTTTATACAAACATGGCATAGGTATACACATGTGAGAGCCGCCGTGTAGCAGCCTTGTACCACTCCCTTTAGAGAGGCACGTCCCTCATTTAGAGAAAGTTGTGCCTGCCCCGAGTCCCCTGAAGAGAGCCAATGTGCCTGTGTAAAGGTGGCGCTACACAAGTACGTGACTCTCACATGTATGAAGAGGAGAGCTTTTATAGTGAATACGGTGCTTTACTATGGCTAGTGAGCTATATGTTAGCAACGACGTCCTGCATACGCTTAAAAGCGTACCCCACATATGACTTACATACTTAGTTCATGTAGACTATAACACAATGTCGCATTGTATTGGTCTGGCCGCTTTAACACACGTTTTCATGATGTTGAAGTCAGAAGATCATGGTGGAGTGGGCCGGAGATATTTAACGAAGTCCAGGAGGCGTTGCAGGTATTGTCGTGGCTGTGTTGGTAGCTGCGTTGATATGAAGTCTCCAGGGAGCCGCAGAGAACTCCCGCATCTTTCGAGTTGTGCTAGCGTGTGCAGCGTAGTGCAGCTTCCATGTGCAACAATGGTGTACCTCTGCTATCTATACGTAATGCGCAAGACACGAATATAAGCCGGATGACGCCAACTGAAGGACCTTCTAAAGCGGAGTGCCTTGCTGAGGTACGGCAAGCCGCCCTCCTCAGCGAAACACCCAGAAGACAAGCTGTGAACCGTACAGCGGGCCAGGGCCGTCGCCGAAATATGTTCCTTGAGCGACGGATCTCTGTAAGCCGTGCTCAGCAACAACCGCTGGGAAAATAAAGTTTACTACTCAACTTTTGCGTCGTGCATGCTGACGTTTGCAGCGTAGTGCAGCTTCCGTGTGTACCTCCACCGTCTACTGATATGAGTGGGATGGTATACCGACCACAGGAACTGCTGCATTAAGCGTCACAGAAAGACAAGGACTTCGATGGGCGAATGTCGCGCGAGTGATGTTTGGTGCAGCGATGGAAGTACCATGAAGAAGCAGGAGGCTTTCGCTCGTTCACAGCTCAAGATGAGAACTCTGTCTCTCGCGGTTGCGAACTTGAGTGTATCGCGACACAACTGGCTGCCTTACAGAGACGAATGAAGGACTGAAGTGATCATATCTTCGCCGAAGTGATTTCTCAGCAGGACGCTGCTCACCCACACGACGACGCATGCCAAAACATTAAAGGAGGGTTGCCGATATACGCAAATCATGCTCCTCACTACAGCGGACCGTGAGGTGAAAAACGATTGAGTGAAAGCCGGTTCAGTATCACTTGCACGGTTTGTGAACGCCTGTGGTTCGAGTGTGATTAGCGTGATGCTCCGTGGCGTGAAACGCAGTGTCTCCGGAAAGTTTATCCCGCGGTCGCGAGTCGTTGGTTGTCGTGGAGGAGATGTGCCAACATGGGCGCATCGACATCTAAGGGTGCTGCAACCACTAAAAAAATTGGCAGATCCCACGTACAGTAGGAATCGATGATATGCGAAGCCTGAATGAGGGAGGTTGATTTGTCACTTTAAAGTCACCACAAGGTTACAAGGTGGAAGTAAATTATGCCGTACACAACTTCCGTGTCATGATTATCATGTTAGGATGTGTCGTTTAACTTCGTCACCTATTCACGTCACGTGATGCCATATTTAGTATATGTGGAGCTAGCGAAACGGCCGCGAGTGCATCATGAGAGGCCGAATATAAGAGAGTTTTAGTACTGCGGAATGGTGGTACTACGTACGCATCACGCAAGCGCCTTGCGTTACGTGGCGTCGTTTGCCACTAATCAGCTTTTAGTACGCCGTAGTACCCGCGTACGTAACGAGCGTGAAGCGTGTTGCGCCATCTGGTATATCAAAATAGAAGCACGTGTTGTTGACAGCCAATGTGAGCCAATCCAAGTGTTATAGCCAGATTATGGCCATATTATAGGCCACAGAGCCGGTCGGTGCTTGCCTTCAATGCCGCCATTTTGCAAAACGAAGTCTCGCGCTGTGGCGAACTTGTTCGAGAGCGGCGCAATCACCTCGTACGTACGCACGCACGCATCTCATGCATGCGTACATAGCGGCTGCGTACGTAATGCGATACGTGCGCGTTGCGGTGTGCGCATGCACACTACGCAGAAAGTGGCGTCGTTACGTACGCAACGCCGCCGCGTACGCTGCGTACGCAGTACTAAAACTCTCTATACTCCGACGTTACGTTGACGCGCGCGCACGCTGGGAACAGCGTTGCTACGTTAGCAGAACGCGAGCACTTTTTAGTCTGATGGCAGGCGCGACCAGCGTCCGTCGGCGCGGCCTGACGGTAACCAGCGTGAAATGCGACAAGCTGCATTTCGCGCAGATACGTTACCCAGACAACACAGCGTCTGCCTCTTTTCGGGACGGAGAGACGCCGCATGCGCTGAAACGCGCATGAGTCGAAGCAGCGCACCGCGGCGCGTGCCTGCGAGTATATGGCAGAAGCGCCGCCTGGCGTCGGCGTGACGCGACGAAAGGAACGCCGGCGCACACGCGCGCCTGGTCACGTCCAAGTGATTGGCGCCTTGACTGTCAGATTTAGCCATGCTCTCACATGACGCATCTTATGATTATCATGTTCGCACTAGTCACATACCATCGTCATCCGTTGACGCCACGTAATACCAAATTTGGCATATGTAAAGCAAGAAAAACGGCCGCGAGCACATCATGAGTGCGGCATGTAGTCATGTTGTCACATGACACGCATGCAATTATTATCATGTTTGGATGTGCGATTTATGTCGTCCGTTCACGTAACGTAATACCGAATTTGGTACCTGGGAAGCTAGCGAAATGGCCGTGAGCGCATCATGAGCGTAGCATGTAGTCATGTTACATGACACGCATTTCATGACTATCATGTTTGCACCAGTCAAATACCTTCGTCATCCATTCACGTACCGTAATACCAAATTTGGTATATGTGACAATAGTGAAATGGCTGCGAGCGCATCATGAGCACGGCATGTAGTCATGTTGTTGCATAATACGCATAGCATGATTTTGATGTCGGAGTCTGTCGTTTGTGTTCACCATGCAATCATGTCATACCTTACCAATTTTGCAAAATGTCATGTGAACGAAACAACCGCAAGAGCACCAAGACCATGAAATGTAAATCATGAGATTAAATACATAAATTTCATAATTTTCATGTTATAAGTAGTCACGTATGCTCGTAATACAGTCATATTATGCCATACCAAGTTTGGTATTGACACCATTATCCAAATGGCCAGGAGAGCTAGAAGTCGTAGGCGGCTAGATAGATAGATAGATAGATAGATAGATAGATAGATAGATAGATAGATAGATAGATAGATGCGCTCAAAGTCTCCGAAGTTCGCTAAGAAATGCTTCGCATTCAAAAGCTATAAGCATGATGTATCAAGTTAATGCGCAATGAACATTAAACTACTTCTGTGAAGACACATTTCACTTTTGTGTCTTATACCAATTCCTATATCAGAAGGACCAACCACATTTTTTTTTCAGCAAGCGTGCTAATACAAAACCAATGACGCTTCACGACGAACCGTGTACATGGGGGGTATACCTTCTAAAGCGGTTATAAATTAAGAAACGGTGACAGTGCCGACCGGCAAGCACCCTATATAGCTACGCGACCTGAGTACCACCACACGTACATGCTTCGTCCGGCTTTGCCATGTTGAGACGTATAGGTTACACGATACATCCTTCCTTGCGCATCGCAGCTCCACCGATTCTCCGGATGCGCGACGTATATGTTACGTATTGCGTGGGAGATCGAGTGATTCGCGCTCGGCGCCTGGTGCAAGTATCGAGTGGCGTGCCTTGTGCGGGAGCGCGTAACACACGGCTGTTTAATACAGTCAGCAATTGAAGTGGTTGCGCAATTACAAGGCATGCCGAAGGAAACTGACATAATCATTGTACCTACCCGAGTGCTTCAGAAAAAAAAAACAGTAGCGGGAACTCTTTACTCCCGTGAAAGGCATCCTGTCACGGCATGTTTGCGAATGCAAACCAGGTGAGATTCACACAAAGCGCGCTTTTTCCGTTGCCAGGACTTCGGCCACCGAGATTCGCGTAATCGAGAAGTTTAACACACCGCTAGTAATGGTTAATGGCTTGCAAATGTACAATTTTGTGCCAGAAAAACTCAACGTCTTGACTGCTGCTTTATAGAAACTCGTTTGCTTTCCTGAAGAGTTTTTTTATACCAACCTTTTCAATTCCTAGACAGCACGACATGTGATAAACAACGCATTGAGAAAGTCCACTGATTAGCATCCAAGATATGAATTTTGTTTTAGTCGAGCATAGGGAACTAAAGGTGGGCATGACTGGAGGGGCTGCCTTGAGAGACAACGAGCACAAGCGAAGTAGCGAATTACTCGATTGCATTTTGATTGAGAGATTCTTTGCTGCCGAATACTTTGCACTCGTGGACAATATGTCTCAGACCGTGTTGACCATAGGCTCAAGATAAGAATAATCGCATGCAAGACTGACGTGTTTCAAAATGATTTTTTACCAAAAAAAAAAATTACAAGATGGAACCAGCTGCCTTCTAGCATTGCCTCTACACTCCCGAATATTTGTTTTATTTCATGTTAGAATTGTTCCGATTTATATGTTAGAACATGTTCCGATTTTATATATAAATTTCTCTTGCAGATTGTGATTCAGGTGACTTTGATTATTTGTTTGGCTGACATGTATTTTTTGTGTTCTACTTTTCGTAAATGCACCCCCAATGTAATGCCAATTGGTGCTGTGGGTAATGAAATAAATAGATAAATAAAAAAGTGTTGATAAGTAAGCAAAAAATTTAAGCACAAAGAATGTATCTCTTCAGGAAAAGTGGACTAACACTGACATGTGCCCACCACAAAATTTGAATATGATGCCAAGTTACATTCTAGCAAATGGTTGTTGAGAATAACTTGAGATATATTGAGGAAAACCTAATTGAACAAGAATGTTCAGGGGGTATGTACTGCCTTTGTTTTGGAGATGATAGTGACTGCATGCAGACCTTTCAACAAACAGGTATATTTCTAGCTGAAGAATGATTTGAGCAGCTATATTTTTTGCCGGTGACACAGGCTGAACTAATATAGATGAATCATTTGAATGGCTTTATATAAAGGTATCCATATAAGGCCATATATGAAAGCATCCATATAAGACCTTATATGGATGCTTCTATATATAGCCATATATGGCCATATACAGCAACACCCATATATGGGGATATAAGGCCCATATATGGCTATATCAGGATTTGGACATATCAGGTTATATACGGCCCATATATGGGGATTCCATATATGGGCCAGATATGCCCAATTCCTGATGTAGCCATATATGGGGATTTTTATATAAGTCCATATATAGGATTTTTGTAAGGGATACCTCATAACTGTTCAGCATATGTTGCAAGATGTTTTGTTTTAGAATACGATATCGTGGTCGTCTGAGAACAGTTTAAATAATTTCGAGCGAAACTGAAAGTGGGTGTTTTTTACATTCTTTAACTGAACCAACAGTTTTTTTTATGTTTGGAACAACATAATTTATTACTTCAAAAATTACTAGACAAGTGCGAATGCAGTGAATAACTATTAACCTACAGGACTATCAGTGCTGTACATATGAGCAAGGTATGTGGCATTCACAGAAGCAGAAATCACGCCTCAAGAAACGAGCAAATGTAAAAAACGCAGCGTTATTCGAGAACTTTTAAAAATACTTTATATGCGCAGAGTTAGAAAACATCGAATAAGCTATTTTTCATTACTTTTATTTGTGCTACTGCGAAATATATTTGTGATATCAGCTTGCGACGCTGTTAGCTTGATCGTAAATTAGCGAAAACGTACTGTTTCGTAAAACGGTTGTCTTCATCCGGCAATGCTTCTTGATTTTTTTTTCTTGGTTTGAAAAAAAAAACATATTTGAAAAGGAATTGAGATTTCGCGTCATTCGGCCGTACGGGCGAAATATACAATTATGAGGGAAATCGGAGACATCAACTATACCATTTAATTTTTATCTTTCGTGACTTCTGCTGCTATCATATTACTACAACTACAACTTCTACATACGACTACTGCTACTACTACAACTAATACAACTACTGCTACCATACTGCTACTACTACTACTGGTACTACTACTGCGAAGGCGGCGGTGGCATAGTGTAGACTAAGGCAGCATGTCTGTGATACGTACACTGCAAAGACAATCATTGATAATCGGCTTGGAACCAGGGTTGCCTGGTGTTTTCTCTTAAGAACAGTATCAGCACAGAACACCTACCAGGTATCAGTGCAAGATGTTTTTACAGCGAAGTGGCCAGGGGATACAAAAGTTCGTCCCTCCTATATGTGCTCGCAAAAGCTTTTAGCGCTTTGGTATACCACAGAAATTGGGAAAAGCCTCACCGCGCGCCACCACTGGTCGACCACTGAGCGGGAAACACCAATTACGATTTTTGAACAGAAGTAACCAATAACTGAGAGACACTTCGGCAGATTTCTGGTGTTAATATGGACACAAAGGCTGCATGTTCTAGCATCACGGGTGAACCATACGTAAGGAAATCGGGCGGTGACTTTTGGTGGGAAGAAAGTGGTTCATCGAGCACCTTGAAGAAACGTCTCCTTCTTATTCTGGCCAAGCGGTCCTGCCTGCTTGCGACACCACTGGTATCCTCGTTCGCATAAATGAGGCCTGCCCGTGCACCAAGTATATATTGCGCAGTCCGGCCGGCCTTGAGGGTCTCATACAGAGCTAACACGCTATCTCAGATGTGACAAATATCTCTGCCGACGTGAGCGACGTCTTCTCACCATGATGGACATCTCCATGACGAACGCGGCCAGGTAGGCGGCCTGCAGTTCGATGGCCAGCAGTCCCAGGCGGTGCCCGTGCGTGGGAAGCAGCAGGACTCCGCCGAGGCAGGCGGCCGCGCCGAGAGTGACCGAGCACTGGACCAGATCGTAGCGAGGGTGCTCGAACACCTCGATGACGCGCTCGCGGAAGCTCATCTCGAACGAGTGCTCTCCCCCTTCGCCCCGGTCGGCGAGGCCCTCGCAGCCGAAGTCGTCGCCGCCGCTGCCGCTCTTCAGCACAGACTTCTGCGCGAGAAGGGGCCCAAGGGAGTCTCTGTTAGAGTCTTACCCCCGTATTCACAAACGCTCCTCGACTCAACTTCCACCCTTCACTTGACAGAGTTGAGCACTGCGTCACCACTCGGCTGAAAATGACGCTGCGCTACTCAAGAATCGCAGCAAACTATCGCTGATATGCAGTGACTTGCCTTGCCTAGAGATGGCGCTCCCATCGGCTTTCTCAAGTGAAGGCGAAGCGTTGAGTGAAGGGAGGTTCTAGAATACGGGGGTTAGTATTCTTTCACCTTCTCACCGTCAACTTCTCAGCGCGCATAACGATGATGTGCGCTGAGAAGTCTGAAATTGTTGTCATACCAGGGCGCCCGTCCCCGACACAGAAATTATCGCGCTGTGCTGAAATGCGTGGATGCCCACAAGAGGCGTGGAATCCTGAAGGAAAGCTCATGATTACAATCACCATGATAATCATATTAATCGTAATTATCAAAAAGTTCTATGCCCACCGTAGGACGCTGGCGTCTAACTTTCAGCGACCTTCTGCAGTTACGATTGCCTTAGCTCTAATCCCCAAATCTTATATATATCAAATGGTTTCGTTGTTCTTGCTGTTAAGTATCATCGAACTCTGTCAAACCTATGGGGACGCGGTTGGTATTCTGCACCATCTTCACTGGTTTGTACGTATACGTACAAACCTGAATTACCATCGTCATCTGTTACTTTTTTCTTGCCCATTCCCTTCCCCCGGTGTAGAGTAGCAAGCTACAACACACTATCGTTCAGGCCGACCTGTCTGCTTATATGTGAATAAACCTCTCCATCTGAACTACAGTGAGATATACTTAATACAACATACTGATACGTTTCCTTTTGGTGTGAAGTATATGTAACGCCTAATCATCTAGTGCACAAGCGTATCCTTTTCCCTTTTGATTTACATTTTGGCCAGGATTAGTTACAGTTACATTAAACTGTAGCCACATGGTGTGAAAAAAAAATGTGATAACCTTAGTTTTCCCAGTCTCTGTGACAATGTATGCAATACAACCTCTGCATCAATATAGCTATGCTATGTGGTAAAAGATGCACACAGTGTTGCGGCTAGCCTTCGTACTGTACATTTCTTTGTTTGCTCGCGCCGTGACCTGCTGGTACCTACACGCCGTCGTCCCGTACCATGGCCCAAAAGGCCATACTGCTAAAGAATACCAAAATTGAAAAGGAAGCGCATTCGCTACAGTAAATAAAGTTTTTGCAATATCGCCTCTGATTAGCTTAGCAATCTTACTTAATGAAGAAAGGGAACAGGTCGACAATTAAACCACATGCACGAACTGCAACCAGTAACTTGTGGTGAAAGATTGTAACTATTCACGGACGATCAGCACAAGTACGTACCAGCCAGTTGATCCAGGGAGGCACCGCAATCAGCTGGCGGATCATGTCAATGTTGAGATATCTGTGTTAAAAGAAGAGCATCACGCCGCATTGATTAGTCTCGCGTTTTTCGCACGTGAAAAAACATCGCCCAACCTTAATGGTTGAAAAATACAATGAAGCTGACACCATTAATGAAGCGAGAAGCTGAATCAAAGAGACATCCTGGAATGTGCAAAAGACGCTGAAGAAAAATGCTCCGTTCAACGACTACGCACAAATTACACTATTCTAACAGCGACATCAGGACACTCCTGTTGTGACAATAAGATAGGTAAGAAAAGAAATAGAATCGCAGTTTCGGGGTAAGGGTGAAGCAATTAATGCAAAAGCAACAAATTGGAATGTTCTACGAAGGCTGGCGGCTTACCTTGTGGATCCAGTTACGTGTAACTCTATAGAATGCTGACGTAATTTAATATGCTCCCGCTTGAAGGAGCGAAGCGTTTTTTGTGCTGTCTGTCGTCACATCGCAAAGTAAGCGGTGACAGCATGCGCGTACGAGTGAGTACGAGCCGTCTGATTATGTATGCCGAGACAGCGCGCGTGACTGTGCTTCTCACTTTTCGCAATCGCTGCTCAATGTTCGCATTTGCTGCTCGAGCGACGCAATGGACCCCCTCCCACCTCCCCTCGGCACCCTTCGTTCTACTTCTACCGGCAAAGGACGGGCGAGGCATCTCCTATCTGCTTGAGGGGCCATCGAAGGCAGGACTCACACGCAGGGCGATGCTACTGCATGAGCGCTACGTGAAACGGAGATGGCCGGCTCCTTTCATCCCTGCATCAGTCGCGTTCGTCTACAGTGACGTCCCCTGTAGGCTTTTTTTAAGATTCGAAGCAGCTCTTTGGCTAACCTGTGTAACGATGTCCCTCCGTCCGCACCGCTCCCCTCACCGCAGGTGTTGGAGCGGTGCCAAGTAGCTCACGCCCTCCTAGCAGTGCGCTGTGACGTCTCTCTATCGCCTGCCGCGTGCTCGCCGCGTGTCTGCTCTCTCTCGCTTCACCCTCTCCACTACTCGCAGCGCTCAAGCCTACTGATCACGTGGCCATCATCTCACCCATGCCACCTCTCTCCATCTGCCGGCGAGAAAATGCCGCGAGCCGGCGGGTGCGCACGCCTCGAGAATCTAGCGGCGCCGGCAAAGTGGACAGCGCGCCGCTGCTTGCCGCGCGATCGCGCCGACAGGCGGGACGCCGTCACGGCATGCTTCCCGCTAGTGTGCGCGTACCTTTCTCGGCTATCGCCGGCGTTGCGAGGGTTGGCGAAGCCGATTGCATTCGCGAGTGGCGACGTCTAAACCGACGAGGCGTGAGCCAGGGAAGCCGAACGCAAGCGTCAGCAGTGGAAGACCAGTGATGCCGACGAAGTGTGAGTCAAGAACACCGATTGCGTTCGAGAATACAGATGGCGCGTGGGTAACACCGACGAGACGCGAGCCAAGGAAGCCGAGCGCAATCTTCTTAACGCGTCCCACCTACTGTGTCATTGCGTTTCAAACAAACTTTTACTCGAGTAAACGCTACACGGAGTTTAGCTTCAAACCGTTCTTCCATCGCCCGCGTCGACGCTCGCTTTAGCCGGGTCGAAGCCGTGCACACGGCTGCTGCTTTGCATGCCATCACGGTGCCCTTTATGATCTATTGTCCTTTTTAGATGCGGAAGCATCTTATACTCGCGCCTTGTAGTGCGCCGTCCGCGCCGTCCGCACCGCTTCTCAAACATTCGACAGCTGACGCGCGCGCATGCGCCGTCGCGCCGTCGCCCACTCTTCCACCATCTGTGCATCCCTTCCTCCTCTACACACCGCGCGTGCTTCACTCCTCCACCATCTGTGCACCCTTCCTCCTCTACACACCGCGTTCGACATCTACAATTCTCCTGATTCTCCAGTGGACGCGCATGTGGCGTCGCGCTTCGAGAACATTCAACAGCTGACAGTGCATGCGCCGTCGAGCTGTATATGTACTCAAGGTCGGCGCTCGCTCGCTCAGTTGCCGCTCGTCGGTTGGTTTGTACGGCGCGTCGACGTCCTAGGTCGCGGTGAAATGAATTCCAACGAATCCACAAACACAATGATCGACGTCCCTTCGACCAGCGCCGCCCTTTCGCATACGTGTGTACGTGTTCACTCATTTAACACCCCCTCCTACAACCACGTTAACCAATTTAGCCATCGACCCAAGTAAGTCGCAATTTAACACCCCATTTCACAACCACGTTAACCAATTTAGCCATCGACCCAAGTAAGTCGCACTTTAACACCCCGTTAACCAATTATATGCTCCGCATCCTCCTCAGTGTTCCCCCGAGGGAAGCTGCGGGCAATTTTTTTTTCTTTTTCCTCAATACCGACAACGGCCTCTCGCCCGCGCCGCCGGCATTTGTGGTTGTCCTCTTCCTAATTTGGAACAAAGTGAACTACGTCTAGGCCCATACTCAAATACACCTTCCACACATCTTTGAGTGGAAAGTATGCTAAGGTGACCCGCCTTTTTCCTTCCGCCAATTAGTGAGTAGGCGACGGGTTTCGCCAGGTGTTGGAAAAACGTTAATGGGTACCGAAAACGAGCATTAGCCAGTGAGATTCGCTGGTGGTGCTTCACTGATTGTCGGTACTTAACTTAAAGAAATAATGGGAGAAATCTGGAGGCTTTTGTCCCCAGTGGTTGCACGCTTTTACTGGCGCTGAGAGCATGAGATGCGTGGGACGACGTTATTGGTTTGGACTTTATAGGAAACGTTCCGGCGACAGCAGCGGTGAAATCCCACTGTGAGTGCACGTATATATGCCACCTTAATAAAAGAAAACGTAAAAATAACGATAGCTGCCTACGTGTCAATTCCAGCACCAATTCGGCATGACGTCAGGGTTGATTGATTGATATGTGGTGTTTAACGTCCCAAAAGTACCATTTGATTATGAGAGACGCCGTAGTGGAGGGCTCCGTAAATTTCGTCAATGTGGCGTTTTACACGTGCACTGACATCACACAGTACAAAGGCCCATTTTGCCTCCATCAAAATGCGTCCGCCGGAATCGCATCCACGGCCTTCGGGTCAGCAGCCGAGCGCCTCAACCACTGATCCCTGTAACAGACGCTTTCATTCATTCTTTCGTTGTGCTTTCATTCTTTGTGCTTCCTTTCTTTAAATGAAAATTGAAGTGAGCTGTGCCACTCGCCCGACCGGGCTCACAAACATGAAAACAAAGACTTTTGAAACATGTCCCTTGCATCTCTCACATCATTTCTGATTGGACCTGCACTGCAGGTTTGGATTAAATGTGCTAGGCGTTAAAACAGGCTAGAGTGTACATGGCTGGGTATTGGCTTTCTACAGTCGAATCTTGATAATTCGAACTCGAAGTGGCCTGAAATATTGTTCGGGTTAAAAGAAGTTCGAATAATGAAAGCTAAATAAATGGAGGGCTCTCCACGCAGCGGCGCATGTGCATTGACTAACACACTAGGGGAAGATTAAGAAAACACATTTACTCACAAATCACAGGACATGCGTTATTAACGTGCACTTTGTAACGCTTAAATTCAATAAATTTGGCCATACACACGATGCCAAAGTGATGAAGTGCGTACACGAGCAACGTATCTTACGATAGGCGGTACGAAGCTCGCTTTTTATTCTGCACGAATGGCCCCGGCTACGCACGTGCGCCTTTGCAGTATACCAGTCCACATCCATCTCTCGCTTCCTGTGCGTCGACCTGCTTTATTCGGCATCTGTTGACGATTGTCTTCCGTTTGTATATACTGCAAATGGGGATACATGCGTGCCCACTTTCTCGGTGTAGTACAAACAAAAGCGAAACCAAGGCATCCGCGATAGCTCCGGCAATCGCGGAGAGCAACGGCAAAAAAAGCCTAATTGTGGTCATGACGGACATTTTGCGACTTAACTGCATGACGTAGGCGTTCGCATTTGGCATAATAAAACCGTTACTAAAAGCATCCTAAGCCTAAGTGTGCAATGATTTATGGTGGCGACCACTTCTGATTATCGGTGGTCGCGGCATGTGCGATGTTTATCGCGTGCGTCAACAGTCTGATTGCACGATGCGCACCGCGGTGGGCTCCGTTGAGCTTCATAATCAAAGTTACCACGGTTCCCCGTCAAGGCTACTCAAAACAATAACAGGATTCTTACATTATCACACTTTCTCATGCATTGATTGATGATTGATTGATTTGTGGGGTTTAACGTCCCAAAACCACTATTTGATTATGAGAGACGCCGTAGTGGAGGGCTCCAGAAATTTTGACCACCTGGGGTTCTTTAACGTGCACCCAAATCTGAGCACACGGGCCTACAACATTTCCGCCTCCATCGGAACTTTCTCATGCAGCCGGCTGTGGAGAACGCGATTATCCCACTTACCCTTCACAACAGCTGGTATCCAGCTCGCACCATTCTGCTTCGCAAAAGCTATGGAAATAGACTAAACTGAAGTCCTTACATTCGCGGCAATTCACAAAGCAAAAATAGCGTCAACTGAGTTCATTTTTCGTAAGGCGCAGAGCTGTTGCACCTGCGCCAGTTTTCGCCGTCGTTCTGGCGGGTGAACGCGCAACCAGTTCATGGCGGTTCGGTGACGCGTCAGGCTAGTGTAGAGAAAATCGTAGGTATTTTTATAAGCGTTCAAAGCGCAAACACACCTGATATTCATCTCAATCGTTGTTTTGAACGCACTAGTTGCACCTGGTTGCGTATCAAACTGTAAGGGAGTCGGGCTTTGCACTACCCAAAACTACGCCGACAGGTGGCGCTACGTGTCTGTAGTACTCCAGAGTCTGACGTCTATCTAGGATATAATTAGAGTTCGCACACGTTTCTCTAAAATATTGTTTCATAGTTGTTTCAAAATATTTCCAATGTCACTCATTGACTTCGAGATGAGGGATGGGGGCCCGTGACATCAGTTTTCGTCTTTCGTCCAAGCATGCGAAAGAACCGGCAACATGATTTGTAAAACGCGGAATTAGAAACCTCTGAATATTTCATGA